ATGGAAGGCAATTCATGCTGTTCCCAATATGTGTCTTCTATCACACCAAACCCACGTCCTCATATTTTTCAGAGCGAGAGGGTATGGTTAACAAAACCTCAAGAGTGCAAAGTGAGACCTGAATGAGTACCATTGCTTCCTGTCACACCAAATGATGCGGTCAAACTAAAGGGAATGGAGCACGGAACAAAACAACCCATTAATGGCCTGATAAGAATCTCTGATCAGGCAGGGGAGCCACATCTGACTTATATGTCGCATGCAAGGCGCTTTTCTTTCCTTCTCAGCCATGTGGTCACAAATGTTAACCTTCTACCAAGGACAAATTCCAGAGGAGCAGTCAGGCAATCAAATGCAGGTGAGATACCCCAGGAAAAAAATACACATTGTGGAAAATCTTTACACCCGCTTCTCCAACTAGTAATTATATTTGCTGCAACTCATTTATTTTTTCATCCACCATTTTGCAAGGAAAGCAATGTGTCGGTTCTAGGGATAGCATCAACTGATTATACCAATCAACACACATTTTCATTCTGCATGATACTGTTATAATCAGGTGAGTCAACTCAAGCTGAAATGAACACTAAAACATTTCTGAAATTTAACTCTAAATTTCCAATTTTGTCATAGCTAAGGTGTAACTTGACAAGAGCAAGAAACAGTGTCCCAAATCAACCATTTGCATCAGGGGGTTTGTCTCCTTCCTGTTGCAGCTTCTCTGCTGCTGAAACAGTGATTTGTAGGGTTTTCCAACAATCCAGGACAGCTTTTTAAAGTGACTATGGGGTAGACTGGAGAGAAGCACAAAGCTGAGGGCCCTTTCTCTGCTCACAATCTCAATTAGAGATATTCATTTCAGTGGGATAAGGCACTATTGGGTCTCCTAGGGAACTCTGGAAGTATGGGAGATTTACTCACAAGGATTGGTAAGATGGTTTACTTGATTACTTGAGGCAGAAAAATGCCAGCAATGGTCAATTCACTGTTCTGCCATTAGTTATTTATCATATCAGGAGCGAACCAAACAGTTGTATTGCATTAAAAAAATACAAAGTTTGCAGACTTGGCATTCTATTGAATGACCTTTGCCCAGTATCTGGCCACTTGAAATGCCTCTGGTGTTGCTATAAGAAGGTCCTCCATTGTGCATGTGGCAGGGCTCAGGTTGCATTGTAGTAGGTGGTCTGTGGTTTCCTCTTCTCCACACTCACATGTCGTGGATTCCACTTTGCAGCCCCATTTCTTAAGGTTGGCTCTGCATCTCATGGTGCATCTCGTGTTCAGCACCTTTCAAGTTGCCTGTGTGCCCAGGAGGGAGTCTCTCATTTGGTATCAGCCACTGATTGAGGTTCTAGGTTTTAGCCTGCCACTTTTGGACTCTCGCCTGCTGAGGTGTTCCAGCGAGTGTCTCTCTAGATTTTAGAAAACGATTTCTTTATTTAAGTCGTTGGTGTGCTGGCTGATATCCAAACAGGGGATGGGCCGGAGATGTCACTGCCTTGGTCCTTTCAGTATTGGCTGCTACTTCCTGGTGGATGTCAGGGAATACCAGCTAAACAGTGTAATTTCCCCAGTGGTGTAGGGTGCAAACACCCCGTGATAATGCGGCATGTCTCATTAAGAGCCACATCCACTGTTTTAGCATGGTGAGATGTGTTCCACACTGGGCATGCGCACTCACCATGCCCAGTGTGTGTATCTGGTTGTGATCCACAGGTTGTGCCAGTCAGCTTTTGTATTTATTTATTTATTTATTTATTTGGGGTTCTTTTACTCCGCCCTTCTCACCCCGAAGGGGACTCAGGGCGGCTTACAAAAGCAAAGGCACAATTTGATGCCTGCATCATAAAACAATCATACACAAAATTACATCAATTCACAGTTGACAACAATTCATGCATTATAACCATAAAATCAATGAAATCAATAAAAACCAAATACAAACCCAATTTCTCCTCTTACATGGTCAGCGTTCATTAACACCTAGATCTAGTTTTACGTTCCGCTTCATCAATCCTGCTGGTCTTACTCGCCTGATTGTCTGATTTAATTGCCAGAGTGCCCAAAGGCCTGGTCCCATAACCAAGTCTTCACCCTCCTCCTGAAGGCGAGGAGGGATGATGATGCCCTGATTTCCACAGGTGAGTTCCACAGGTGGGAGGCCACCACTGATAAAGCCCTGCTCCTCGTCCCCACCAGCCTCACTTGTGACAGTGGTGGGGTCGAGAGCAGGGCCTCCCCAGATGATCTCAGACTCCGGGGTGGGACGTAGAGGGAGATATGTTTGGACAGATACACTGGACATTGTTTCTAGCACCCACTTTTTACCTTCTTTATTTCCCTCATATTCTTAGGCATTATGGGCATGGCCACACTATATGATTATTTTGAGATGATGTAACAAAATGTGGAATATCTTCTGTTTCTGGTTTGAAAGTGTTATTTCCTGTTTAATTGTGTGGTGCTTACTTTGAAAGTGGTTGTTATACTCCAGAAACTTCATTTTTGTGGTTGCCACAAACTATGTTGACTCTAGAAGATATTCATTGAAAAACTATAGTAAAATGCGCTGCAGTGCATTCCACAAAAACAATATTCTTTCTCCATGTTTTTATGATAGAACCACTACCATATAAAATCAATCTGCTTTAAACTGGATTATATGTAGCATAGACTCATATAATCCAGTTTGAAGCAGATAATCCAATATTATCTGCTTTGATCATCATCATCATCATCATCATCATCTAATTACTTATTAATCACCCTCCATCCAAGATGCTCTAGGCGATTTACAAGCTAAAATTGTAAAGGATAAAAATACATACATACAGATATTGATAAAATTAACAAAGATCAAAAGCTCAAAATCTGGATTATATGGCTATGTAGACAGGTCCTGAGTTGAATATTCTGGGCAGCCTATACTCTAAGAAAGTCATTGTGATTTCCATTCCTCCTGAACCACCTTTGACTATATATTTATTTGCAAGGTTCAAGTAGTGGCAGACTTGGAAAAACAGTGAAAGGGGTAAGCTATACTATGCAGCTATATCCCTCTAAATGACTAAACAGCTTTAAAGGAATATCTCTGTATCACAAAGAAAATGTATTTCATAGAATCATAGAGTTGGAAGAGACCTCATGGGCCATCCAATCCAACCCCCTGCCAAGAAGCAGGAATATTGCATTCAACGCACCCCTTTTAGTCCTTTTTTATTTATTTACGACATTTATATGCTGCCCTTCTCACCCCGAAGAGTACTCAGAGTGGCTTACAAGATATCTATACATACAATATATTATTTATTATATTATTAGCATAGTACAATATCAGTATTATATATTACTATATTGTACTATACCTTTATATTGTGATATTATTAGTAATATTACATGTAACATAAAATATATAATTATAATATCATATTATAAACGCAAAGTGTAGCTTATCCACATATTCTTGCACTGCAGTTCCTATCCATCCTCAGCCTTTGTCATACTGGGTACAGTGAATGGGAGTTGTGGCTCAACCATACTTAGATAACTGTACTTTACCCACCTCTGCTGAATATAATGCCATGATCAACCTATGCTGATTCTGCCATTAGATCCTTAAATTGCTCCTGGCAGCAGCAGCCTTTCTAATGATGTGCTTATGTCAGGGATCATAATTGTGCAGGTCATTTCCTATGCACTACATCCACTACATTAGTATACCTACACCAGTAGCATCGCTAGTGCAGTTCCATGACAAAAAGCAGACAAGAGAAAGTAAAGTAGCCGTATCATCATCATTCTCAGGCTGTTTTATCCATTGCCGGGGTTCCAGGAATGTTCTCAGAGCTAAAGATCCTCTGGGAGGACTACCTTAAAAATAAACTTTCTTGTTGACACAGGTAATTCTCCAAGCCAGGTTCTCAGCTCTATGAATCCATCTGTGCTGTCGCACGCTGGGCCTGTGCATATGACTGTAGACAGGACATAAATTCTGTGTGCCCAACGGGACACCGGGGCTGCCTCAGAATAAAGGCCCTTGGATTCCCCCAAACAGAGTCCTTAGATTGCTTAAAGTAAATCCAACAAAGTTCTTTATTGATGAAAACAAACAGGTACTTTCAAGCTTTCTTAACAATCTATTGGGTCTTGCAATCTTGTTCACTGGGAACAGGCACTATCTTCTTAACTGTAATTAACTAATGGGGAAATCCTTCTAATCTGGGCAGTCTATACTTGCCTCTGTTGCCGTGGAGCCCCTGCACCCGGTACCAACTATGTCTGGCTCCCGCGAGCGACCCTTGCCAAGCAGAGCTTTGTAGACTTCCAGGGGAAAAGAAGGAGTTCAGGTTGCTGTGATGGCCGGCTGAAGTCCCTCAGCCAAGCTGTGGGGCCTTTTCTTTCCGGCCAAGCTGTAGGCTGTCGGCTGAATATCTCCCCGGCCAAGCCGTAGATGAAGCTTTGTACAGGAGCTCTTCGTTTTATGTCCTGTGCGAAAGCTGCTCTGTGTAGACTGAACTCAAAATGGCTCCTATCCCCACTAAAACTCAAAAAGGGGTGGGACCAGGGAACCTAACGATAATTGACAGGTAGCTTGCCCTATGATTGCAGCCAAGAAGCAAAGAAGCCACCCATCTGCAGAGTCCCTGAAACTTAGGACTGCAACAAACATTAAAAGCAAAGCAAACAAAATTGGAGCTCCTGGTGCAGTTGTACCAGCACACCATCCAAAAGCCAGATATTGAAGAAATAGGCACCAGAGAGTTCTGGTGTGGAAAACACAGAGCCCAGATTCCCAGGTTTTTCCCATGTATTCATAACATTCACCATTTGCCTAAGATGCTCATAATTCTTCCACATATTCAAATAGTCAAACAGATCCCCGTACATCATTTAAAAAAGGAGATGGTTCACTAGAGGAGTCTGTTTCAGAAGCACTACTTGAGTATACCAGTTTAATTGTGATTTTTCTATACCTGACTAAAAGCCAAAGAGCTTACCAGCTTCATTGAGGCTAGCATTCTGCAGATAAGTTCGACATCTTTCTTTGTGTTCTTCCAATGAACTTCTTTGCTTATAGCTCCGTCCGCAGAATTCACACTTGAATGGTTTCTCCACTAGAAATAAATAAAATAAACACAAAGCAAATTTGTCTTTTTTTCCTTGTCACTCCCACAATAGTTTTAACATGTAAAAGGTAAGGGTTGATTTATTTATTTAAAACATATTTTTGGAGCCCCTGGTGGTGCAGTGGGTTAAACCCCTGTTCCGGCAGGACCGAAGAACGACAGGTCACAGGTTTGAATCCAGGGAGAGACGGATGAGCTCCCTCTATCAACTCCAGCTCCTCATGTGAGGACATGAGAGAAGCCTCCCACAAGGATGATAAAAACATCCAATCATCCGGGCGTCCCCTGGGCAACGTCCTGGCAGACGGCCAATTCTCTCACACCAGAAGCGACTTGCAGTTTCTCAAATTGCTCCTGGCATTACAATATATATATATATATATGCCCTGACATTAACTCTAATTGTGTCCTACTCTGGGGGTTGGTGCTCATCTCTATTTCTAAGCCGACAGCTCCAAGGTCATATGGCAAGCATGACCACACGGAGCACCGTTACCTTCCCACAGAAGTGGTACCTATTGATCTATTCACAATTGCATGTTTTTGAACTACTAGGTTGGCAGAAGCTGGGGCTAACTGAAGGAGCTCACTCCGCTCCTCAGATTCGAACTGCCAACCTTTCAATCAGCAAGTTCTGCAGCTCAGCAGTTTAACCCGCTGCACCACGTGGGGTGGAGGCTGTGATTTTAATATGAGAAGCCCTTAAAATTACAACTGTGTTCATCCTTAGAGCAAGCCTTCTAGGTTGAATCAAGGCTTGGAAAACCCCAGATGCCTGGTTTCCCAGGGCAGCTTTATTATTATTATTATTATTATTATTATTATTATTATTATTTATACCCCACCACCATCTCACGGAGGCGGCTTACAAAATAGCACATAAAGATGCCATACATAAATACATCAACATGAAAAATAATAATACATTACATAAACCAAGTATATAAATCGGATAAAACAACCTCTATTAAAAATAGAATCAGTTGAAAGATCTATGTAATCAATATTTGAAGCACCATTGGTCACATTGTATGTCTAGCATTTACTCCTAATCGTACATGTTTTGTAAAAGGGAGAAATTGCGGTAGAGCTAGATGTATTTTATTGTGAGCTGCCAAATGAGTCCACGATCAATAAGAACACCAGCAGCACACATCCTCCCCTGATCTTGTGGTCTTTAGGTTTTGCCCTCTACTACTTTTCCACTGTACCTTCTTCCTCCTTGTTGTCCCCACTTTGCATCTTATATCACTTTCTTTAGCCTTCTCGTTTCCTGGAGCAGCCTCACTAGCCTTCCCAACCCATCATAGCATGCTTTGGGTCCAACCTATCTTTGAGACCTCATCTCCTTGTATGGACCTGTGTGGGCACTGAGATCTGTCAGGGAGGTCCTCCTCTCAGTCCCACCACCGTCCCAAGTACAGCTGATGGGGACGAGAGAGAGGGCCTTCTCTGTGGTGGCACCCTGGCTCTGGAATGCCCTCCCTAGAGATATTAAGTTAGCCTTCACTCCCCAAGCTTTTCGGTCTAGTCTAAAAGCTTGGCTTTTTAGACAGGCCTTTGACCTTGAGTAGATTTTAATTGTTAGACCTGAGGACTTAGTGACACTTTACTCTGGCACCTGTATTGCTAATTTTAAGGTTGCCAGTTTTTTTTTCCACAGGCATCGCTGCATTTTATGATTTTTTAAAAAATTATTATGTGTCATTATATGTTTGTGTGCTGTTGTAAATTTATGTATTGATTATTTTATGTTTGGCACTTTTACTGCTTCTGTGAGCCGCCCCGAGTTACTTCGGGGAGATGGTGGTGGGGTATAAATAATAATAATAATAATAATAATAATAATAATAATAATAATAATAATAATTATTATTATTATTATTATTATCATTATTATTCGAAACACAACAAGATGAGTCCAGAGCAAACAAGATCACTCTGCTGGCTGTTGTATTGGATCACATGTCAGACACTTCCCAAGTGTCTAGGACTGTGTGATGTATTGGCAAATAATGTGTGCAGATCCCAGTAAAGTGGTATTTTGCAGCTGACAGATGGTAATTTTGTCAGTGCTGATTGTGTTTAAATGCAGGCCAAGGTCTTTAGGCACTGCACCCTGTGTGCCTATCACCACTGGGACCACCTTTACTGGCTTGTGCCAGAGCCTCTGCAGTTCGATGTTTAAATCCTCGTATTGTGTCAGCTTTTCCTGTTGTTTCTCTTCAATCTTGCTGTCACCTGGGATGGCAACATCAACAATCTATACTTTGTTTCTTAACATGATTACTGAGTACTGTGCTCCAGAACTCTCTCGGTCTGAATTCGGAAGTCCCAGAGGAGTTTGATGTATTCATTTTCTGTAACTTGTGATCCCACAAGTTCTTTGTCACAGGCAGATGGTATTTGTGGCGCAAACTCCAATGAATCATCTGAGCAATGGTGTTATGCCCCTGCTTATAGTCTGTCTGCTCGATCTTCTTGCAGCAAATTGGCAAATAATAATAAGAAGAAGAATAAGAATAAGAAAGTGCTGTGAAATTTCATCAGTGTTCTCCACCTCCCTTTCTCTCATTGGTCTTCTACAGCCTTTGCTAATTTACTTATACATCTTTATACATTTTGCACTCTTCTATGTTAGTCCTAGCCTACTATCTGCTTTGAACACTTTGGTTCTAGGTACCACATTCTTTGCTTTTCCTGTTTCCTCGACATCCTGTGTCTTCCCAACTTCCAGTGAGAACCAGAAAGTTACTTCTTTCCCTACAGCATGTGTGTTACATTCCAGACATTAAGGTTGTTGTAGGTTTTTTGGGCTGTATGGCCATGTTCTAGAAGCAGTCTCTCCTGACGTTTTGCCTGCATCTGTGACAAGCAACCTCACAACCTCTGAGGATGCTTGCCACAGATGCAGGCAAAACATCGGGAGAGAATGCTTCTAGAATATGGCCATACAGCCCAAAAAACCTACAACAACCCAGTGATTCCGCCCATGAAAGCCTTCGACAATACATCCACACATGAAGTTTCTTGGTAGTCCACCATGTCTACTGATGCACTGTACTGAGCAAACAGTTGATGAACATTTTTGTCCATTTCAGCAGTTCAGCCAATCAACATCTAACATGCAAAGGTCTAATGCAATATTCATCAGTTTTTTCTTATACTGTTCATTGCTTATAAAAAGTTGGTATGTGTATGAGGTGATGGTAGTGGTGGTGGTTGCTAGTTCCACCAGTCTCAATTCTATCTGCCTCAAGTACTTCACTAAGCTTGTGTTGTCAATTGACTTTCATGCAATTTCCTTGTATAAAATAGTGGTGGGATCTTGCACAGGGCTTCAAAGACACATTTTAAGAACATAAGTGGAGGAATCTGGCCAATTCAAACAATTTAAAAACTAATAGTTTTTGAAGTCACTTACCAGAATGTGTCCTTAAGTGACCACTGAGTGCGTCTCTCCTTTGGCAGGCATAGCTACAAAGGTGACATTTGAATGGCTTTTCCCCAGTGTGAAGTTTAACATGACGGAGAAGATTGCCCTTCTGAGTAAAGGAGGCTCCACACTGGTTACAATGGAAAGGTCGCTCTCCTTAAGAGTCGCATGCATAAAGGGGAGGAAAAGACATTTAATTGCTATTTAAACAACATTGCAGTCTTTACAATAAGGCATATAACACAATGTGGCACACTTTCCTATCCCCAAATTTAATTAAGGCTGGATCTGCACTGCGCTACATTCCAGGATCTGATCCCAGATTATCCACTTTGAATTGGATTATATGAGTCTACACTGCCAGATAATCTGGGATAGCAGACAATCTGGGATCACATCCTGGGATATAGGGCAGTGTAGAAGCAGCCTCGGTGATGTAGTTTACCAGGAAGGCTTACATAGGGAATGTACAAAAGTTCAGGGACCAAGCCTCAGGGCATCCCATCATCTGTATTTCTAAATGTACCCCTGAGTCCCTTTTCTGAGTGTGCCCTGCAATTGCCAAAGCATGGCATGAACTGGAACAATTGCTTTCTCCTTCAAAACATAATCAGGATTGAGGCTTATAAATTACTGTATATACTCAAATATAAGCCTAGTTGTTCAGCCCCTTTTTTGGCTGAAAAAGTTCCCCTTGGCTTATACCCGAGTCAAAGTTATTTATTATTTTACTTTGTTATTAGTATTATTTTATTACATGTATTATTTTACTATATTTATTATTATTACATGTACATTTTACTCTATTATTATTTTTATTACATTTATTATTTTATTATTAGTATTATTATTTATTATTTTGCTCTTTATTATTACATTTATTATTTTACTCTGTTATTACTGTTATTACATTTCCATTATTTTACTCTATTATTATTATTATTATTATTATTATTATTATTATTCTGACACAAAAACACAGTATGACACAGCTAACTAAGATTTCATTATTATTATTATTATTATTATTATTATTATTATTATTATTGTACTCTATTATTATTGGAAGGATACATAAGCACTTTTACACTGAAGTATATAGTATAACATATAGCAAAAGCCCTGATTTAATCAGAGTTGGGCAGTCTTATTGTAAATTACAGTTTTATGTAAATACTAGCCGTCCCCTGCCACGCGTTGCTGTGGCCCACATGTGGGAGGTTTGGCCCAATTCTATTGTTGGTGGCGTTCGGAATGCTCTGTGATTTTAGGTGAACTATAAATCCCAGCAACTACAACTCCCAAATGTCAAGATTCTATTTTCCCCAAACTCCACCAGTGTTCATATTTGGGCATATTGAGTCTTCTTGTAGAGTTTGGTTCAGATCCATCATTGTTTGAGTCCACAGTGATCTCTGGATGTAGGTGAACTACAACTCCAAAACCAAAAGACACTGCCCACCAAACCCTTCCAGTATTTTCTGTTGGTCATGGGAGAACTGTGTGCCAAGTTTGGTTCAATTCCATCATTGGTGGGGTTCAGAATGCTCTTTGATTGTAGGTGAACTATACATCCCAGCAACTCCCAAATGACAAAATCAATTTTTTGAGTGAAGGACATACATTGGGTTGTTAGGTGTCTTGTGTCCAAACTTGGTGTCAATTCGTCCAGTGGTTTTTGAGTTCTGTTAATCCCACAAACGAACATTACATTTTTATTTATATAGACTCAAAAACATTTCACCTATTGATGCCTCAATTAATGTAATTTTATTGGTATCTATTTTTATTTTGTTTTGTCGATGGTATCTATTTTTATTTTGAAATTTATCAGTAGCAGCTGCTTTTCTCACCCTTGGCTTATACTTGAGTCAATTAGTTTTCTCATTTTTTCGTGGTAAAATTAGGTGCCTTGGCTTATATTCATGTTGGTTTATACTTGAGTATATACGGTAGTTTTCCCCATTGTATGTGTAGGATGTATGTGTAGGATGTATGTGTGAGGTTGTAGTGGTAAGAATGATTGTTCTAGATTGATATTTGTTAGTTGTTGTTAGTTCTTTATATTATGAAAAAAAATTTTTTTTTGTTTTAGTGGGGATGGCGTATATTGTCCGTTTGCTTTGTTTTAATGTGTCTTTCTGTATTTTTCTTTGTTTGTATGTAATATTGTAGGTTTGTTTCCTTGAATAAAAATGAATATTAAAAAACTTAACAGGGATTACTGCCTTCCTGGATTATGACTGGTTAATGGAATACCCTTAGGCCAAAGATTTTCAACATGCCCCATGCCCTGGGTGGTCTAAGAATAATTTACCAGTGTGGCTGCGTTTGTGAACCATCAAGACGTTGAGGCTAACGCAGCCCAATCCACAAATGTCGCAATTTAGTTTTCCACCAGTTGGCCTGACGAGGTCATATGGCCCAGCATGCCTCTCTAGTTCAACACTGTCATATTCGGCATACTCCTGCAAGCGGTTATAAAGGATCCCAGGCTCTACTCGGGTTTCCATTGCTTCAGATTTCAAAACATCATCTTCTTTTTCACTGTGTTCCCCTTTGACTGTAGACAAGTCATCTTCTAAGACTGGAGACACGTAGGGAGGGAGACATGTTCAAAAAGTCATTAGATGTTAAAGTTCACAAGAAAGAAGACGACCATGACCAGAATCCAACTGCCACTCTCAACTAAAGTAGAGCTACTCTGTTTGGGTTCTTCAACACAGCCATATCAAGGCGGATAATCCACAATATCTGCTTTGAACTGGATTATCTGAGTCCTCACTGCCATATAATCCAGTTCAATGTGGATTTTATACAGCTGTGTGGAAGGGGCCTGAATTGTTGCCTAGTAAGTCGGACTTCCAGAGCCAGAGAAGCAGATGGCAAAAGCAGAAGAATGGCCTGCCTCAGGGGAGTGTGCTTGCTCTATCAATGTTCAGCACTTACACAAATGACCAGCCACTGCCAGAAAGGACAGAGAGTTTAATCTATGCTGACCATTGTGCCATCAACACCCAAGTAGGGAGTTTTGAAATGATTGAACAGAAACTCTCTGAAGTTTTAGGTGATCTTACTACCTATTCCAGGGAATAACAACTGAATCCCTAAACGTTCTGGCCCAGACTACCTGTCCAAACGTATCTCCTGTTATGAACCATCACAAAATTTAAAATCATCTGGAGAGGCCCTGCTCTCGATCCCACCGCCATCACAAATGCGATTGGTGGGGATGAGGGACAGGGCCTTCTCTGCAGTGGCCCCCCATCTGTAGAACTCCCTCCCCAGGGACATCAGAGTAGCCACTTCCCTCCTGTCTTTCAGAAGGAAACTTAAGACCTGGCTATGAGACCAAGCGTTCAACCAGTAATAACAGCAAGTGGAAGAAGTTTTAGGACAATGAATTGACCCGAACTGGATGTTGGATTCTGGATTTTAGATTTTGATTTTAACAGGTGTGTTTTAATCAATTGTCTAATTAATGTTTTTTTTAATAATTTTAATGTATTGCTGATTGTTTTTATGATGCCGGCACCCTATGGTGCTTTTGTGAGGCCGCCCTGAGTCCCCCCTCGGGGGTGAGAAGGGCGGGGTAAAAATACAGGAAATAATAATAATAATAATAATAATAATAATAATAATAATAATAATAGTTTCTAATCAATCTAAAACACAGAAGTGTGCTTTTCATCTTAAGAACAGACAAGCATCTCAAGCTCTGAGGATTACCCGGAAAGCTATCCCACTGGAGCATTGCAGCACTCCAAAATACCTGGGAGTTACTCTGGACCGCGCTCTGACCTACAAGAAGCATTGCTTGAATATCAAGCAAAAAGTAGGTGCTAGAAACAATATCATGCGAAAGCTGACTGGCACAACCTCGGAATCACAACCAGATACAGTGAAGATATCTGCTCTTGCACTTTGTTACTTTGCTGTTGAGTACACATTTCTAGTGTGGAGCACATTTCACCATGCTGAAACAGTGGATGTGGCTCTTAATGAGACATGCCGCATTATCACAGGACGTCTATGCCCTACACCACTGGAAAATTATACTGTTTAGCTGGCATTGCACCATCTGAGATCTGCTGGGAAATAGCAGCCAATAATGGAAGGACCAAGGTAGTGACATCTCTGGCCCATCCCTTGTTCAGATATCAGTCAGCACACTAATGCCTTAAATCAATAGTTTCCTAAGATCTATAGGGACACTTGCAGGAACACCTCAGCAAGTGAGAGTCCAAAAGTGGCAGTCTAAAACCTGGAACCTCAAGCCATGGCTGATATTGAATAAGAGACTCCCCTTGGGCACACAGAAGACTGGGAGACTTGGAAGGTGATGAACAGACTGCACTTTAGCACCATGAGATACAGAACCAGCCTTAAGAAATGGGGCTACAAACTGGAGTCCACAACATGCGAGTGTGGAGAAGAACAAACCACAATCCACCTATTACAATGCAGCCTGAGCCCTGCTACATATACAATGGAAGGTTTCTTATCGCAACACAAGAGACACTCCAAGTGGCCAGCTACTGGTCAAAAGACATTTAGTATAATGCTATTTTTAAAAAAACTTTGTGTTTTTTCAATACATTACAAGTGTACCCTCGGTTCACTTCTGATACGATAAATAGGTCAGATTTACCATTGATTTGATCCCATTAATCCAATAGATATGCTCTACTTGGGATGTGCAATCCCATTAATTCAATGGTTATGCTCTACTTGGGACAAACAAATGGATTTAACTCCGTAACAGACAACACTAAAAACAGTATTATATTTAAATGATTCCCAAACTCTGGTACTACATATGGTCCCCGTATATCTGACAATTGCCCAAAGTGGCTGAGGGCCTTTCCAGGCAGGCCCTATCTATTTATTTATTTATTTATTTATTTATTTATTTATTTATTTATTTATTGTATTTATATACCGCTTTTCTCACACCTAGGGGGACTCAAAGCGGTTTACACATAGATAATGGCAAAAATTCAATGCCTTACAACTACAATAGTAAAACCACACTTTAAACATAAATCATATTAAAAACAGTACATTACCAGATATCAAAACAGTTGTTAAAACTATAAAACAATCTCATCAGTCGAGTTGCCGTTCCAGTCCTTGTTCCACTAAAAGCTGCATACATCTATTGTCCGAAGGCCTGGTTCCAGAACCATGATTTTAATTTTTTGCTAAAGATCAGGAGCGAGGGAGAAGATCCTACCTCCTTTGGGAGTGTGTTCCATAGGCGGAGGGCCACAGCCGAGAAGATCATGCTCCTCGTCCCCACCAGCCGCATTTGCGCTGTTGTCGGGAGTGAGAGCAGGGCCTCCCCGGATGATCTTTAAATATATCCCAAGATCCAATCCCAAATTTTCTGTTAATCCCAGATTATCTGGCAGTATAGACTCATATAATCCAGTTCAAAGCAGAAACCCTGAGATCAGATCCTGGGATATAGGGCCTGTCTGGAAAGGCCCTGAGTCTGCTGGAGGTTGTGGTCTGATGGTGTATGGCTCAAATCTGGTCTCACACCTATACAAAATAAAGTTAATATTGGTTAATCCTATCTATTCCAACCTAATTTTTTGTCACTATTGAGGTGTTTCAGACACACTTGTTTGAGTAGGGCTGAAGGGAACATTTATCATTTTAAAGTATCTGGTTTAAAAGGAAATAAAATGTCTTGGTATTGTCGAAGGCTTTCATGGCTGGAATCACTGGGTTGTTGTAAGTTTTTTGGGCTATATGGCCATGTTCTAGAAGCATTCTCTCCTGACGTTTTGCCTGCATCTATGGCAAGCATCCTCAGATAAATGTCTTGGTTTTACAGCTGGCTGACAAGAAGTAGTCTTGCAAGGAAATGGCTAGGGTTAAAGAGTCTCTGGAAAAAAGCTAGTACTATTCAGAATCTGATATTGTTTTATAAATCAAGTCTTGCTTGTTGCTCAGAGCTGAACCTGAATATTAATCTAAATAAGCAGATGTTACAAATGAAGCCACAGGTCCCCAGTACCAGCTCCTCACAAGGAAAGTGATAGTGCTAAACTTTGCCCCTGCTAGGAGAAGTGGTAGCAGGAAACAATACTCTTCTCCTATTTGGGGATTTTTGCCTGGGAAGTCCTGCACAGATGCTTAATGCTTACTGCACATTCTTCTAATGGTCCCACCGGGAAACATACCTGCTGTTTGACTTTTCTCGAGGCCACCTGCCTCTGCATATAGCACATCTCTAACTTTGATAACTTTTGATAAGGAACTGAAAGGATGCACCTGAATTCTCCTGACTGAAACCTCTGCCATGCTCCAGCTGCTGAAGTTTCCCTTCAAACAAAAGCTTGAGCAATTTTCAGTTTGCATGCAGAAACAACAGAAAAAAATGGAAAACATGTGCTGGGCAATATGTAAAAAGGACAAAAAGCAGAAACTGGAACAAAAGAACAGTCTGATTGCAAGCAATAGTAATGCAATGTTTGCTCAGATGGTAGATTTGCAATAGGATGAGTGGTAGTGAATAGCCCTACATTGTTTAGTACAGGGGTCCTCAAACTTTTTAAACAGGGGGCCAGATCACAATCTCTCAAACTGTTGGAGGGCCAGATTATAATTTGAAAAAATATATATGAATGAATTCCTATGCACACCGCACATATCTTATTTGTAGTGCAAAAACCCAACTTTAAAACAATACAATAATTAAAATGAAGAACAATTTTAACAAATATAAACTTATTAGTAGTTCAACGAGAAGAGTGGACCTGCTCTTGGCTGATGAATTAGGATTGTTGTTGTTGTATGCTTTCAAGTCGTTTCAGACTTAGGTTGACCCTGAGTGAGGGCCGGGTAAGTGACCTTGGAGGGACTTATCCATCCCCCTGGCCTTCATTTGAGGACCCCTGGTTTAGTGGATAGCAATAGCATATCTATCAAGGTTTTAATTTTCATGAACAGCAATATCTGATCCTGAAGATTTTCCTGAAAAGTTTGGCTATATGTTATGCTCACAATGCAAATGAGACTGCATAATGTACTGGTTTGAGTGCTTGAATATGATCATCGAGACCAGGGTTCAATTCTCCACTCAATCATGATAACTCAGGGGCTGCAGTTAACACAGAAGGTTAAAGTGCCAGCTACAGATAATCTTGCTGATCGGAGGTTGGCTGTTCAAGCCGTGGGTTGGGGTGAGCTTCCACCATCCACCATCCACCCTTGTGCTAGTACGGCTGTACCAGGAGCTCCAACTTTATTTTCTTTCTGTTATCTGTTTTGCAGTTATAGGGCAGGCCTCCTGTCCATCATAATTAAGCTTTGGTTCCGCCCCTTGTTCAGGGCTCTGGGAGGAAAAGGAGCCATTTTTTGGGCAGTCTCACACAAGGTAGCTAAGCTATAGGACGTCCCGTAGAAAAGCTTCCTTTCTCAAGAGCATCCAGGGGAACTAACCATCCAGGGAAAAAGTAACATCCGTGGATAAAGAAGCAGAAATTCCAGGAGAAAGGTCCCAAAAGCTCTGGCTGAGAGCTCACAGCCTCTCAGCCTCACAGTATCAGAGGAAACAGCCCTGAAGTTTCAAAG